TTTGTTTAATCGACAAAAATGCATAGAATGTTCTAATTTTTATTCAAATAAAACCAAAAGAACGAAGTTGGCGACTGGGACAACGTTTTACAACTTACTCTATTTTTAATTGAAAGACGAATCTTTAACAAAAACCAATAAATTTGAGTTCATTAATAATGAAATGTTTTATAAATAATTCAAAAGTTTGAATTTGAGTTGAACTATTTTATCAAATAAGTCAAAAATCATTCTAAATTGTTCATGAAAAGATGCAAACTATGTCGATTTTATGTGGAGAGATTCTACATTTGGAAAATTGTCTTTCTTGCCAGAAAACTGAATTACTATGAAGGATTGAAACTGTAATAAAAACACGTGTAATTGTAAGTACAACACAGGGGACCAAGTGTAGTGAAGAGTGTGTGGTTGAAGATGTTTCATCAAAGAATTCAACTATCACAGAAACATACGTGAAAGTTGAACTGCATAAAAGGAAAATTGAATTTATAGAATCACTCCAATTTGGAGTAAAAAATTACTTTTATGAAGGTAACTACAACATTTGGGTTCAAAAGAAGTGATGGTGGCATGTTATTTCAATCCAATAACAAAGTTGATGATATACCCAAATTTTAAAGAACTCATTGATAATGTCCATGCATCAATTGAAAAAAACTGCAGAAAGAATAAAAACGAAAGAAGATAACTATCATAATGAATGTAAAATTATACATCAATTGAAGACACAAGCAACACTGAAGCCACAACAGTCCAGTCTTTTGAGGGAAGATATGCAAAATTTTTTGTTCTTAAGTCCATCCAGAAAACGGCATTGAGCATCCAAATGGCGAAATATGAATCTCAACCGGTCTTGGATGAGAATTCCAATATAACGCTTACTCAATATTGGAGAAGAAAGATGGTAATGTGGCCGGACTTGGCAAAAATTGCACTACAATATACAACCCTTATTTGCGCCAGCACTCCATCAGAAAGGTTATTCTCAAAGAGTGTGTGCTATTATCGAGACAGAAGGAATAGATTACTTCCAAAAAAAACTTGAGATGTTGACTTTTATCAACTCTTTCCTAACAATGGATATCATGAGACAAATGCTTGAA